GTGGGGGGTGGGTGGGGGTGTGCAGTCTGTGCGTGTACTTTGCAACGCAAACTGGGATTCCACATGGGTTTATAAAACTGTGGGCAAAAGTAATGTGCGCAAAAAAAACTGTGGGCAAAAGAACTGTGCGCAAAAGAACTGTGGGCAAAAAAACTGTGCGCAAAAAACCTATGTTCAATTGAACGGTGGGCAAATGTAACGTGTCCAATTGAACGGTGCGCAATTTTATGTGTTTAATAGCACGTTGCGCAATTGCAACGTGTCTAATTGTACTGTGCGTCAATAAAGGCTTCTCGATCAATATCAACTGTGATCAATTGGGACCGTGATCAATATCAACGTAGTCAATATCATCATAATTAACTCTCCTGCGCAAGAGTTTTCCCTGACTTAAACGTTACCAATATGAACGAGTTTTTTTTAGAAGGGATTACAAAGTAAACGCGATCATTTTCTAAGGTTTCTGGGGTTATAGATTACGAATTTGAAAAAGACTGTAATTACGGTTTTTTGTCGGTCGACGAATCTGCTAGGAATTACTCGAGAGTTTGAGGAACTAATACAAATTTGATTACAAATCTGAATTCAGCAATTGAAAATCCGATATTGCGATCTTATACCTGATGTTTTGATAGAACTCAAATAATCCCATATTCATTCGTTTGTAAGATTCATAAAGAGTTTTTCACATCTTTCTTGTCATAAATAATTTTTTTTTTTACGATTCGAATTAAAAATTATTGGCATATATTATATACTTTTTTGATGATATTTATTCCCTCTAAATATATAATTTTCGGATAAATAGACTAGTACTAAATTCTTCCATATAACATAGTCACTTCTGAAAAAAAGATTTATGAAATTAGCAAGCTTGTTCTCATCAATTTTCTATTCAATCTAAAAATCTCGATCTGTAGAAATCAACTGTGAAAAAATTGATCAATTTTATTTTCTTACTATTCCCATCCATAAATATCATTTTTCATATTGTACTTCATCCTATTGCAATTGATGAATATTATTATTCAAAATGACCAAAAAACGATCTCTTTGACGTTGATTCTGACACTTCTGATGAAGAGTTTGATAACTTATCGTCTAAAGAAGGCGAAGATTCCGAAGACGAAATTGCTCGTGATTTTGAATCTGATGAAGAAGAATGATGTTCCTTTGATCAATTGAAAACAGATTATGTAAAATTATTTCTTGATGATAATATCATGAATATTATTATCACTGAAACCAATCGTTATGCAGATAAATATCTTTAAAATAAGTATCCTCGAGAAGAAACTCAAAAAAGTATGGTTGGGTTCCGGTTACTAGATGAAATGTGGATATTTCTTGGAATACTTATCTATCAAGCCGTTATAATGAAATCAAAACAACGTTGGTATTAGCAAAACAAAGTTTTGGAGACGCCATTCATCAAAAATATCTGTCATCAAGCTCATTCGAAAAAGTTATGAAATTGTTACATTTTTCAAACAATGATACATTTGATCTTACAAATCATCCCAACCCGAAATTGAAGAAAATCTGGGATGTGTATGAAGCTATAAATAATAACTTTGAAAGAATGTATATACCTGAGCGAGATGTTTGTATAGATGAGAGCCTGATGTCATTCAAAGGACGCATCAGTTGGAAACAATTTATTCCTTCTAAACGTGCCAGATTTGGTTTGAAATTTTTTATGATATGCGAAAGTAATTCTAGTTACATAATAAGAATAATTTTGTATACAGGTAAAGATGAAGAAATTTGAAAAGGAGAAGAAATACGAACAACAGAGCGACGATGTAATGAAAATTAGTAAGAATTTACTGCAAAAAGAATACTGTTTGATCATGGATAATTTTTATAATCCTCCTCAATTGTTTAAGCTGCTATTATCTAATAAATCTGATGCGTATGGAACACTTAGAAGTAAGAAAAGGTTTGCCGGAACAGTTTTCAAAAATAAAACTAAAAAAGGATTAAAGTGTGTGTTGGATGAAAGAAGATATGGTTATCATAAAATGGCATGACAAGAAAGATATATCTAACTTGCCACGACGTTTCTTTTCAAGAGATCACGCCAAGATTCGGCCCGAAGGAAATGAAGCCAACTATTGTTCTAAATTATAATAAAATAATGGGAGGAGTTGACCGAGCAGATTAAGGAATGTCGTGTTATTCTATCATGCGCAAGCAGCAGAAAAAATATTATAAAAAAATAGGGCATTTTTTGGATCAATGCTTATTCAACGCTTATGTCTATACAAAAAAACGCTTATGTCTATACAAAAAAGAAAAAAAAGAAAAACGGAGGACATGTTGCCTTTTTGATTCAAATTATTGTACAAATAATGAAAATTCACGTTCCAAAAATGACATATTTTAGGACAATTGGATAACCGAGGATTGAGTGCAATCTGTTAGGAGATAGTACTCCAACAAGATTAAATGAAAGACATTTTCCAAAAACAGTACTTTTTACAAAACGTAAGAAAAATCCAATTAGGAGATATGTTGTATGCTGCTCTAAGAAAAAAGACCAGAAGACTATTCGAAGAGAAAGTCGTTAAATAAAAAGTCGCTATTGTAAAGAGTGTGATGTTGGATTATGCGTTGACCAATGCTTCAAAGCATACCATACTCAAGAAGATTTCTGAATATTTTTTTAACACCAAAAGAAGACAAAAGAATGATTTAGATTTGGATTGATCATAATTCTCTAAAAGCTCGCTTTCCTAAATCTCATTTTTAAAAAATTTTTGTGATCAAAAAAGAGAAAAAGTTCTAAAAATTTCCAAAATATGAAAAAGATTTATATAAAAAAGAAAAAAGTATAAAATAAAATAAGAAACATAAAAACAAAAAAAAACAAAAAATAAAAACAAAAGAGATATAATTGAGCTTGGAGCTTTCACGTGGCGTATCCTGGGTATACTTTATCGAACGGAAAATACAACAAATCCCAGCCTTAGTATGAGGGTTGAATCCGCCATTTTGAATTTTGAAATACTGACCTTAGATTTGTAATCGGCAACTTTTGAAACCCCCCAATAACAGTTTCCAAGCAAATAAGAGTGAAATAGTCGAAATTGCTCGAAAATTGTGTACTTGACCGCCATATTGGATCCGCCATTTTAAATTTTGAAATTTTGACTTCAGAATCGTTATCAGTGACCCTAAAAACCTCTAAGCAAATGCAGACCGATTTGAGTACTTTTAGGGCAATTTTGTAAAGATGAAAAATTAGAAAATTATTATATGAATTTTCTCTTCTTTTCAATTTTCAATTCAATTTTTTATAATAATATATGCAAAATTCGATACTGCAACTCGATCCTTCTTAAAATGCCAGTCTCAAGCTTTAATTTGCGAGGTCGCAAGCCTCTTTAAGTGATTTCGTTCAAGAATTAGCAAAGAAAATATTTTGACGAATATACTCGTCATCGCGCATACGGGAACAACTCAGTTTTGGACGCATATACTCGGGATAATGCGCATAGGGATTAACGTGGTTCAAACAAGCGCCATTCCAAATAACATACATGTTACCGGTAGCTTACCAGTAATTAGTTAATTGTATTAGTTAATTGTTAGTTAATTGTAATTTTCCATAAATGTAACATGTAATACAACAGATGTTATATTGTTGTTACATCATGGTTTATATTCCATATTAGTTCATGGAATATTGATCATATAGAAAAATTATTTAAGTAAAACAAATAAATAAAGTTTATAGAATATTGATGATATATAGAATTATTTAAATAAAATGATTATATAAAATAAATTATATGTATATTTAATTGATTTAATTTATTTAACAATTTCGATTCTCTGCTTCAAATAAGCAGAAACTGAATTATTTCTCTTTTACCCATTCAATTTCAAACAATTTGTTTAATATTTCGAATTCTTTTTTGGGGTTGTATTAGAAACTATACTGACAAAAAAGAAATAAAAACTTTAATCCATATTCCGAGTCCTCTTTTTCGATAAAAGTGGTAACTAACCTTGTAACCAATCAGAAAATTTATAAGACTTTTAAAGAAACTTTTATCGATAAAAACGGACTCAGAGTATGAGCCTTTTGGATCTTAATATGTCTTAAAATGTCCTTTGCAGACTTTATATCCAATTCATGATAAAAAATTAAATAAGTTAGTTAATTTTGGTTTCGCTGTACAGCGGTAAATAGAAACACATATAACAATATTGCAATAATATAATGTTACGTTTGTAATGTTGCAAAATAATACGTACGATATTGGAATTTTATATTATATAGATAAATTGAGTTATGTTACTTTCACATCATATTACTGCAACAAGCAAAATTTACTGAGCCTCGATATCTTTGTATTTTTATCTAGAAGTTTTAGAGAATCTATTATTAAGAGGAAATACTGTGATTTTAGAACCACACACACATACACACACACACACACACACACACACACACACACACACACGCACACACGTACACACGCACGCACACACAAGAGTGATTCATTTTAATCTTAATAGGCAAATATTTTGAAAAATATGCGAGATACGAAAAAATGCTTCAGACAAAACTTATATGGAGACATAAGATGGTATCATCATTAATTTGACCTTAAACAGTTACTTGAAGGTCATGTGAAGATCACCTTCAATTTTTTAAATGGAACTGCCTACTTTTTATTACATTTTTATAGCTGACTTCGAGAGCTATCCAAAACACTATAATTAAGTTAGTTTTCATTAAGTACTTTCGCTCCCCTTCGCACTCACCTCTCTAACACCTTAAGGAGTGTTGCAAAATTTAATAAATTAAAAAATAAAACGACGCAATATATATATATATATATATATATATATATATAATCAAATTAAGGAAATAGTAAAAATACTTAAATTAAGATTGTATCGTCAAAAAGATTGCAATTGTCTTGTCTTTTAGTTCTTAATTAATTAAGAATTTTTTAAAATCTGTTTTTAATTCTTCAACTTACCACAAGATGTCCAGCATCTATTACAAATATTCTATCACTATCCATAATAGTATTCAATCTATGAGCTATAGTAAATATAGTACAGTTTATACATTTTGTTCTAATAGTCTGTTGTATAATGGAATCCGTGTAAGGATCAATATTAGCAGTTGCTTCATCCAGCACCATAATTCGATTGTTTTTGATAATAGCGCGCGCGAGGCAAAATAATTGTCTCTGGCCTACGCTGAAATTTGATCCTTCATTAGATACTTTCGTATTCAATCCGCCAGCCATCTCAGAGATTATCTCTTTTAATTCAACATCTTGAAGAGCTTGCCATAATATAGCATCGGTATATTGATCGAAAGGATCAAGATTTCGTCGTAGACTGCCAGTAAATAAAAATGGTTCCTGAGGAATAATACTAATTTTTGTTCGGAAATCATGCAAGGCAATCGCGCTAGTGGATATATTATCTATACGAATCTCTCCTTCTACATAAGATAAACGAAAAAGAGCATTAATCAGAGATGATTTTCCTGCGCCAGTTCTGCCGACAATACCGATCTTTTCTTTCGGTAAGACAGTAAAATTAATATCTTTAAGGATGTAGTTGCCTTGATAATTATACTTTAAATTTACATTTCTAAATTCTACAAGACCTTTTGTTGGCCAATTTTCCGGTAGACTAGTTTCCGGCTTACTGTCGATCATCGGCTCTTCTTCCAAATGGGTATATTCAAGAATCCTCTCTATTGAAGTCAAGTGACTTTCCAATTCAGCTGTTTGTCTAATTCCCCATTGTAACATATTTGTCAACGACATGATTTGTGTGACCGTTAAACCGATGTTACCGACTGCTGCTAAATCTTTGACGATCGTGAAAGCTATAATTATGATGCCAATATAAAATTGACAGATCATATCGATATAAAAGCCAAAAGCTCGAGATGTAGCTAGGGAGAAAAAGCAGGCAGACGAATGGAGATCTTGATGATTACATAAGTCCGCCATCAATATATTCTCGGCATTGAAAGCTCTAATTGTTGTTAATCCTTCCAGAGATGCACTGAGATGATCAAAGATCGGCGAACGCGCTGAAAAATTGTTTTTTATTATTCTATTTAATTCTAATGTATAAGTTATTACACATATATAGACGATATTTGTAATTGGTCTTTATGTTTAATTTATAATAACATTAGTCATTACAAAATGTATTGTTTTTTTATTTATGTATGGATATTACATGTAAGAATAATTCTAATTTATTAATATTTAATTTATATTTTAAAAAAATATATTGTATATCTTGGAGCAGATTTAGACAAGGTAATGATTGAGATTTGGCGGCTAGCATTATTAAAAAAGAAGGAATAAGTTTTCAGATCCTTCAAGTTAGTTTAATTCCGCGGGACCGGACAGTTTTTTTCGTGATTTTACGAGAGATTCAGACAAATCGAGCATTGAGAGCATGTCTTTTCTTAGGTTGTATACTCGAGTTATATAAGTGAATTCTAATCGTACATATTATTCGAGCATGATGATATTTCCCGATCAAATAGTTTTCTAGATACAATTCCGATTGGACATAGTCTTGATTGAAATTTCGAATACAGTCAATAGAACAGGTCATAGTGTCGATTAGATAAGTTCGATCGGACATAGTTTTTATCAACGAGATGAAGTGAACTTTGTGGGAAAAGTTATAAATTTATGTGTAATGTTACAATTACTTCATTATACTGAAAATTAGTCGATATAAATAGCGTCGATATATTTAGCTTTTTGTAGAAAATTACAAATTAATATATGGAATTAATTATACTGATCAATCGGACTTATGTCCTATCAAGTCTGTGTTCTATTAGGATTGTGTCTGATCAGGCCTGTGTCCGATCGAAACTGTGCTCAATTACAATTGCATGAATTTGATCGGGATAGTGTCTGTTTGTTTTCGATTTGTATTCGATTAAAATTGTGTCCAATCAGCATTGTATCCAGTTGGAAAATATAGTTGTGTCCAATTGATAATATATGTAATTGAAACAATCCCGTGTTTATCCCTAAAATATAAAGAATAAGCTGCATCTCTATCAAAGATTACTCATTAATTTGACGTCTTTTTTAAACATTGAAATCGATGTTTATCTGAGAAATTCTCATGCTGTATTTGCTGCATGGGAATTAACGTGTATATAGGTTATTGAGAAATAGAAATGTTGATATCTCTGACTGAGAGACGGAAACAAAAAGTTATGTAATAAGAATCTTCTTTGATATTGAGTCTTTGATATAGATGCCTTTAACATGTCGTAAGATATTAGACAGATAGCTTTGCAACATATCCTGAATATGTTGATTTATTGGATCTGGGATACGCTCCGATCTTGGTATATAATGACGACACTTGGCATTTATAAGATCAAAAGTTGAGTAGAATGAAGATATTCTACTTCAAGATACTTTTGCTACATTTCTGATATCTAATGAATTATTCTAATGGATTAAAGAACTTTAAGTGAGCAAAGGTAAATCAGATTTTTCGCGATATTAATGATGATTAACTAGCGATATATCAGTTTATTAATAGATAATTTGACAGGTAATTTGATCAAATAAATTCACTGATTGTTTCAATTGAATAATTGATTGTTATTTCGAATTTGTGATTTTGGGTTCAGTGAAGTTGATGCTGAAGATGAGATAATGAGTTGAGAAGATAATTAAAAATATATAAATATTTTCTATAAAAATTATCTCTCAGAGTTAATATTAGGGGACTCCTCCGATGAGCTTCACCTTGATATATGTTATCAAGATCCTGTCATCAAGATGTTGTCCTAAGTAACATGCAAAAGATTTTAGCCATCGGTCGTTGTTTATTAAGAAGTTATAAACAAAAGAAGTTTTACGAATTTCACATAATTTTCGGACACTATGTACACGCACAGGGAAGAATGGTGTCCCATGTGTTGAAACTGCTATGTGTTGAAGCTCACTGACATCACACTCACATAAGCAAAGCGTGCACGTACGAGAGCCGGGCAGCGGGAGAGAAAGTGGGTAGTGGGGGTAGAGTAGTGGGGGGCATTCCGATGTTGCGTCCTTCGCGCACAGCACAAGAGCGAGAGAGAAAGCACTATAAGACGTGATACTGATTGTGAGTTAGAAGTGTCCGATAGCCGCTCGATCTCGCTCGGCGCCCGAACGAGAGAGTGTGAGCGACATAGCTATATACCGCGCGAGATACCGCGCTGTTTCTATATGCGTCTCGCGCGCTTTAATATCGATATCAATATATTTTTTCTTTTTTTCTTTAATGGAGTTAAAATGTAGTTGAACCGCGTACACCGGCGGTTCATTCTATTAAATTAAATAATAATTATATTATATAAAGAGAAAATTATAATTATTATTTAATTTAATAGAATGAATATGCCGGTATACGCGGTTCAATCGCATATTAACTCCGTTAAAGAAAGAAATAAAAAATATATCGATATCGATATATTTTTCATTTCTTTCTTTAAGAAATGCGGGTTAACCGCGTGCTCTAAAGATCAACATTCATTTCTATTAAATTAAATAATAATTAAATTATATAAAAAGATAAAATTTAATGAATAAATTCTTGGCTCGCGGACGTGCGTGCTTCGCGTGTGCACGTATGACGTCGACCGTCTACATATACATAACGGGACACTCTTCCTGCTGGTGCGTGTACAATAACAGACCTCTTGTCGCGTTGAAAGTTATAAACATGAATAAACGTAAAGAAAAACGCAAAAAAAAGGTAAATTAAAGGTAAATAAACAAAAGGTAAACAATTTAAATTTATATAAAATTTAATACAATTTAATACAATTAAAAAATATTACAAATGAGTATGTGCACACACACACACACACACACACACACACACACACACACATACGGGAAGGGGAGCATGTGAAGTGCCGAAGATCCCCCTTTGCATCCTCGCGTGTGTCTGTACACATACATTTATGATATTTTTTAATTGTATTAAATATATTTAAAATAATTATTTTTTTATATAACAGTTATGTACATTTCTATCTTATATCTATTATATCTTCAGTTATTGTACATTTCTATTATAATCAATGTACTTGCTAATGAACATATATTATTGATAAATATGTATTGTGACGTGACGCTTTTGAGCTCCGTCACAGTGACTCCGTCGAGGGGAGAAAGCGAGCACGGGGTCGTCCCTCGCATCTGAAGGGGGACTCTAATTATCCACTAGGATTAGTTTTATTATAGATTTAAGGTTCTTGAACAGAGTGCGGCGACCTGCAATGCCGCAATGTGTAGAAAGATCCCGGAGGATACCGAAAGGAAGAAACGAAGAGAGGAAGAATGGACCAAGGCCTCCGCGAACAAAGGTCACGTAACGAGATCCCGCGCCGCCGCTAGTATGTCAGCACGATATTAATTCTAACTCATTTCAGAATAAAGACGGCGGGGAATCCTGACGGCGAAATGACGAGCAACCTCCCAGTCTGCAGACTGGGGAACGGAGATATTTCCGGAAACGGACGAGGATACGGCCTGGCCGGTCGCGTCTGAGTGGACAAGGACACTACCGTTAAAATACCGTCGTCATCGGATTCTGGACCTCTGCGAGAGGGCAACCCGCCGTCCAGCAGCTTGAATTTTGAAGGGGCGGAGGATCCCTTCTCGCCAAAAATCGACGGGATGCGGAAAATCGGCGCGGGGCTCGAGGGCCTCGCGGAGCCATTCCGTTAGAATCACTGTTCGGTGACCCTCGCTAGTGATAAGTCGATTCTGAGAACCACAAGGAGACGACCCATCCACGTCGCCGCCGCCGCCGCCGACTAATTGTAAGCCGCCGCTCAGGTAGCCGTACGATTTTTCCCGAGAGCAGCTGGTGTCGTAATTTTCTGAATACCGTCGCAGGGCGACGGTTATTTTCGGTTATTTTTTCTACGATCGTTACGGTTTATCGCAGAAAGCCTGTGTGTTTTTCTCGCGTTTCGTTGCCGGACGCCAGCTGACACCGGGTATCGCTTTATCCCTAAGGACGTTCGTCGCCGACAGTCGTTTTACCGTAGCGTTCATTTAGTACCGTATCATATCGTACCGTATCGTTTTCGTTTCGTATTTTGTTCTATCGTTGTGTTTCATGCCGAATTGTGAACCTTAGCGTAGTGACGAAATTCCGGCCGTTCCGTATGACGTAGAGAATATCGGGATTTGCGTGAGAACCTTCTTTGCGAGCAAGAGTTACCGTATATGCGAAATCTGCTCGGCAAGAATTGTATAAATCGCGAAATCTCCGTTTGAATTTTATATCCGTTAACGTTCGTTTTGTGTTATCTCGTTCAAGAGTCAAGTTTGTTTTTGCTGAGTGCGAAAGGTCGTGACAATACCGTTACAGAGTGCGAGACAATACTCGTGCCTGTGTACTTGAAATTACCGTTAATAATAAGCTTCGTTATATCTCTGAATTTATTGTCGCAAATTATCGTCGATTATTATAAGAAGTTTAGTTCGATATCGAAATCTTATATGAGGCTCGTGCCTCTAAATGTGTTCTGAAATCATGCTCGTTTATTATATTCTGTTCGTTATCGTTTACTTTTTGAAAATCAGTATCATAAATTACCGCTAACTATTATAGAAAGTTTAATTCCATTTATATCGAAATCTTTTGTGAGGCCTTTTTCTCGTGCCTCTGAACGTGTTCCGAAATCCGACTTATTATTATATCTCGATTGTTATAAATTACTTTGTCGTCGATTATTAGTTGATTTTACTCATCGCGGTTCGTGAGATTTTATATTCGTTTTCGCTCACATCGTTGTCTTATAATCACGCATTATAAATAGGTCGTTTCCGTTACGATTATATTCGACCTTCGTGTCATACGTTATAAGTCTTATATCCTTTTTTTTTCTTTCAACCTCTTATTGTCATCCGTTTATATTCAGAAATTCATCTTTTCTTTCTTTTGTTCTTTTTTTTATCTATTGAATCTCGTCTATTATATTTTTATTATCTCTGTTACATCGTTTATTCTGTATCATAACTGTTCAATATATTTTAA